CGAGGAGAATTTCCTCTGTGCCGCCGCCCTCCTTCGATCTGCGCAACCGACGTCGTTTTCTGGGAAAAATCAGAAAAAGATTACTTATGCTATCCTTAGCTCGGAGTGCACTTTCAGCAAGAGCGCCCGGAGAGAGGTCGCAATTCCGAAACACTAAAAGGGATATATTATATATAAAAGGGTGTAAGAGGCCGGATTGCCACTTTGACACGCGTAACTCTTGCTCTCCCTCCTTTTGATTTAGAATTATTTCTCTTCACATTGCCGCTCGTATACTTTTTATCTTCCTGCGAACTTCCGCCTGTATAACCTTCTACTGCATCTTTGAAATACTGACTTGCTACGTAATGTATGTCAGAAGAAACTTAGATGAACTAGAACATACCCTCTTCTATGTTTCTTACTTTTATGTAAGAAGTCCATAAAATATTGCGTTTTAAAATGCAGGGGTGCCCAAATATCCTCGAATCAATTTCCGGCAGAATTTTCAAGACGTCAAGAATTTTAAATCTGAAGTTTAAATTTTTGAAAATTGATGAAGTATTCAAAGAATGTAATTAAGTAATGAGACGGCATGTCAAAACTTCGAGAGCATTACTATTTAAAGAAACTATTTATTGCTTTCTATATTTGTGAATTAGATTGTGATTTAAAAAAAAAATAGAGAATATAATAAGATATTTTTTGCAATCACTGTTGAATAATACATTTGGATGTAAAAAAAAATTATCACGAATTAATTTATGTTTTGATTAAAATTGTTAACAACTTTTTATTTTCTGAAAAATATATTTTTGTAGAGATTTGATCGTGCAGAAATCTCGAGACTCTCACGGATTTTAGGTAGAGAGACATTTTTGCAGACTTAACTTTTTCTCGTTTAAAATCTGTATTTCCATATGCATATCATATACATACTACATCCCCCTTTTCTGCGGAAACTTTTATTCTCTCCGACGTCTGTTTCTGCTAACCAGAGTTGGAGAATTGATTGTCCGATATCCTCTTTAAACCTCTTTCACATTTTTTTATTGAGATCTTACTCCGACAATAATTCGAGCGGGGCTTAAATCCGGCCAGGAGGAAGAAGAAGAAGAAGAAGGCGGCTTCGTGAATCTTTTTCCGCTCAACGCTGCGAAATTGTTTCCATCGTGCGCGGAAAGTCTATACAGCGCGACGACGAAGCAAAAAGCTTACGCGTATGCAAATTTGTCAGGCTGTTTTTATCCTTAGTGTTTCCATTTCGTATAAACTTTACTCTTTTCTGTATTATTTTTTTGTTTGTTTGTATTTCTCTCAGTATTCTCGCGTTCAGCTTTTTTTCTCTTCCCTTTCCGACAATCCGTGGCATGCACAATTATACGACACCGATGTTATTGTTGACGTTTGATACACCATATAAGTCTTACTAATCTTATTTGGTATTGCGCTCCCTGTTTTATCGATACCACTTCAACAATGCAGAGAAATGCCTAGAAAAAATGACAGTACACGTTCAAGGATTTGCATGAATTGATGCGTGGTATATGTGTGTTTCTATGCTATCGATTCATCGCACGTGCAGCCGCGATCTTGCAGCCGGCCGATCTTGCAGCCGGCTTTCGTTGCGCAGTTGCAGCGTGCAAATTTTTTTCACGCAGTGCGAAAAACACCGGTCTCCCAATTCGCTCTCCTCCGCGATCGCCACGCAAATATATTTTTCGTAAAAAAAGAGGGAAGGGGGAAAAATAGAATCGCGTCGTAGTCAACAGCCATGAAACAGCTGTACAACAGATCCCCCGTCCGGCATCCGGCCGGAAGCGAGCGAACGTTCGAGGCCCGAAACAAGGGCGTCGACCGATGTCGTTCGTGCGGGCTGTATCGTGTATAATGTACGTTACGTCAATCTTGTCGCTTAGATACGCCGTATCAGTTTCGGCTGTGGTTCCAAATTCCACTTCCTCGGAGTGTATCCAATTACGGCTTTCACGTCGGATACACAATGAGATTAGGGGATTTCGCGCGACGGTTTTGCGTAGAAGTTTTTACACGCTCGCGATTATCAACCCTTAGTACGCACGATTGAGTCAGCTGTAATTAGTTATAACGTTTATATACAATTTTTTTAATACATAATATACTACAAATGCCCTTCAAAGATGTTAAGATATGCGTAAGAATTACTTAATAATTTTTGTATACTTGGAAAAGTGATAAAAAAGATTCACACCCATTGTTTAATACACAACTTTACAGATATTTTCCAAAGATGTTAAGGCTGCATATTTCCACTTAACGCTCGCAACACGCTTTTGGAATCATTTCATCCTTGTCAAATGTTAAACAGGGACAAATAATGTTCGTGAGTGTTGCTTGCGTTAAGTTGGAACGCAACCAAAGAATATGTAAGAATTACTTAATTTTTGTATACTTGCAAAAGTGATGAAAAATAGACCCGGACCCATCGTGTATACTAAAAGAACCGGAAAATCACCGTGTCTACCGAGGATTAACCACAAGAAATTCCCCGGTGGAATTCCTTCGGAGTTTCGCAATTTCGTCGCAATCTCTTCTTCGCGATAATTTTAACCGAAGCGAAACTGCGTTTTGCAAGCGCGATATGCGGGACCGCGCCGGAAGTTTCCTCCACCGCGCTCTTCTCCGTCGCGCTCTCCCGCCAGAAGTCGGAACTTCAGACGGTGGATAACTTAGGTGCGCCTTGACCTCAACCTTGAAGCCGCGGAATGCACGAGGCTCGCCCCACCGCACATTCCCGCTTTATGCGCTCTACGCGCTGCGTGCGCGGCCACGTGCACTTGGTCATTGCACCCTCCTCGTCGTTCTTTCAGCCGGCCTTTATTCCTCCGTCGTCGCTTTGAGAGACCCGGCACACGGGTCTGTCCTTGTCCCGCGCGTCGTCGCATTCGGCCTCTCTCCCTCGCACATCCTCGAACTATCTCCTCGATCGACGGACGGAGAGCGCGGTCGTTTCCGCTTTTAGATGGAAAGCTTTTAGATTAATTGCCTAAATCAGAGATCCGCTTCCGGCAGATAAGCGGTGTTTATTCGGACTTTTTACGTCCGGATGACGGATGATTTTCGCGAGTGTAAAAGATTTTCCGCTGGAAAGTAGGATATCGTGATGCGCGAAATGAAAGCGGGGAGATGTTACTTTTAGCAATACGCGCGACGTGCAATTAATGTCTCGGATGAGAAGGCTTCCTCGACAATTTGAGATATTTTGTGATGACGCATTTAATCGAGGTGTAATGTTTTCACCATCGATAAGAGAAAAGTGCGTCCTCGACTGGCATGTCTGAGGAAAGGGAAGGGGGGAAGAGCCGTCATTCGTTTCTTCAATACAAGAAATACGACGAAGAAATCTGATAAAAGAAACCGGCTGCCCTTGTCGTTACCACGCCTGGCTTTCAAGAACGAGTGACTTTATGTTCGATTTATTTGTATATTTTCTCTTACGCGGGTAAATCACGCAATTTAGAGACACACGAAAAATGCGCGAGGCGTGAGAATGCATTAAACAAAAAAAATTGCGACGGTTTTAAATCATTGATACGCGCAAATGATTGATTTATACAGACAGAAATAAATTACAGCATCACTTTTGTGAGTTTCAGTGAACCGATACATTCCGATAAATCACGAATCGCGATTTATGTACGTTTATTATAGAACCTCACATCACGTACATAAAAAATCTGGGTTATCTCCCTGCACCGTCATTGCACGTATTTTCGCAAAACATTCGGGAAAAAATCGTTCAAATTGGCAAAAAAGTTTTGTCCGTTCGGAATCTATCAGGAAAACGACCGACGTTATTGAAATCAATTGATTCCAAAATTATCGTGCATCTATTTTACTCTATCTTTTCTATACGAACAATAATTAACGCGGTTATTTTGAAGAGCGATTTTTACGAACCATGTCGTAGCGACAGTTCGACAATTTGTACGAAATTTAATCGCGCGTCTCTCTCGATCCAAGCGCCGTAATTAGATTACGGATGAACGTCACCAGCGACAATAAATGGCGTACGCGCGAGACGGCGCGTGTGAAGTAGTAAAACAATTTCATAGTAATTCGAAGTTACCAAATGGACGGTGCCCGCGTGATTCCCCATCTCTCTCTCCGTATCTCCGAATTCAACAGGTTGCAGCTGGTGGCTGGAGGAAAGCGCCTCCTCCTCATTCTTCTTTTGCTCGCCCTTGCCTTCATTCCTTCCTTCCTTCCTTCCTTCCTTCCTACCTGCCTGCCTGCCTGCCTTGCCTGCCTTCCATCCTTCCTTTCAATTAAGTGGCCTGCGACGCTACTTCTCCGCAACCTTCTTTCAGTCCACGGAGCGACACGCTTCGATCGCACGTTAATTGCGCGCGTTAATTGCACGACCGCGAGAGCCGCGCTCGTATCTCGTGGAACGATCGCAAAAGCACGCGGGTCCCCCTTCCTCCCCCTGCGAAATACGGCATAAACACGCTTGTAATGCGCTGAATAATCGTCCGCTCGACGAATATTACACACCAGTTCCGTTTACCAGTGAATTTATCTGACCGAAAGCTGCTTTTTACGATCTCTCTGAATGAAGAATTAAGCTCGTAACCATCCTGCCGTTCCCGGTAAGTTTCTTGCGTACGACTCGCGGTCGCGGAACCGGCCGGAAGGATGCGGTGGAGGTGGCGGAGGGGGAGGGCATAGAGGATGAAAGAAATCGGACTCTTGCACTTCCTGCCGACTCGCAGCGGACCGTGATGCTCGGGCCTAAGTAAGTCGGCGCGGTGCCGTCGCACGTGGCCGTTCCATTACTGGCTTATTGTAGCCACTTTGCCCCTTTCAAGTCCGCATCTCTCACGCAATTATCGAGAAGATTTATCGGACATAACTGTCAACGTTAAAACTTCAGAAAACGATTTAGAGAAGAGAAGAAATAATACTCGGCATGCGCACTTTTATACGGTCTAAGACGCCTATCATTGTCCACGTATAACCGTTTGTTTCTTCCGTTGCAGGTAAGAATTCCAGACCTTTCGAATTTTCGTCCGTTCCCCACAGCACCGTTTCCGGTGGTAAGTTTAACTCACATCATAATACACACTCATGTAATTTAATGCAATATTACCATTCTAAATAACACATCGTATTTATGTTTGTTACATAAACAAATATATGATATGTGCGAAAGGAAAAAAAAATGTTTGCTCGGACACATCGTATGTACACACTTGGCTTGTTACAATTGCGGAACTGAGTCATAAATATTTATTTTGAAATCACACTAAAAAAAGTAATCTTGCAATTATAGCGATATTAATTGTTTAGCTACGAAAAATTAGCTAAAACGGATAAGTGATTGGCAGGCACTGTGACATCATATATGTTTTGTATTTGATCGATATAGATAACAGAGACAGAAATTATATCTAAACTATTTGTCAAATTTAGCAAGAAAGTTCTTCTATGACGTTTAATCAGTCCAGACTCCAATCATATTTAGTTATGAGACCTATATTTTTCTTGTATATATTCTTAGAATATTGCTGCTATAAATTCTACGTACGACAATTTTTTAGCAGAAGCAAAAAACAGGGATATAATTTAAGTGTAACATTTAGATTCCTAGCTGAAATAGCGAAACATTTCCCTGAGTGCACAGTTAATTGACCACTTTTCACCGGCCAGTTACGGGCTCGCGGCCGGAAAGTTCTTGAGGCCGGTCCGAGACTTCCGAGGAAAATCGTTATCGAATATGCAAATTTTATCGCACCTCCATTTCTCTCACGTGACGACGAAATAAATGTCGCGCCATTACGTGCTTCCGCTCGACCATATGTGACCGTTTTATTGCTGCGCTACGACATTTTATTGTTCTTTCACATTGATCTCGCGCTGACTCTCGAACGTGCGCTCGCGCGCTCGTAGCTTAGCGCTCCCGAGCTATAAGGAGAAACAGTAGACCGGTCGAATCACGAATAAGTAGTGCTTTCGCAATCGTAAAAGTGCGAGGAACGGTTTGACCGAAGGTATTCGGCGGCGCGATAACCGTAATTTTTTATCGCTCTTTTTCTTTATTTCCATATTTATCGGCTGTGACGCGCTTATCCTCTGTCTACAAATTCGACGTAACGATAACAAAACAAATCACTGGCAGAAAGATAGAAATTTAAAATTTATATTGACATTATATGTGTTATCAACAACATTACATTTATTAATTCGTAGTGATGATTTTCCTTCACGGTGAGTCGTTTATGTCATTCATCATCACTTTTACAAGTATAAAAAATTATTACATGATTCTTACATGAATTTTAACATTTTTAAAAAACATCTGTAAAGTTGTGTATTAAAAAAAATGTATATTGTAAGTGTATATATATAAAATGTTTTCAATATAATTAGAGCCGTCACGAACAACCCAATTATCTGTACTAAAGTGTTAATCGTGCTATTATTCGTGCAATTAGACTTCCACTCTCTATCGGCGCGATGCTTTACGTTATAAATTTCTACGTTGTCAACTGTTGAAATATTTCGTACGCGGCGCGCGCCTTGTGGAAAGATGCCAAGATGCACGGCGGGTTAAGGAGAACAGGTGAAGCCGCGCGCGAGAGGAGGCGAGCTATGGATGGATAATTGCTCACGGGCCGCGGCAACGATCTACGGATCCGTGGGTCGTCGTTGCAATTTAAACGGATTTATGGTACTCCCGGTACCTTTAACTCAGCCGCTCCCACGGGCATCGAATTTTCGTAGTCACTCGCTCGTTGCACGTGTATATGTACGCGCGTAGATACGTGTGTGCCTGTGTGCGCGGGCCCAGGCGCTGCGAACTAGTAGGCGCTCACACGAACTTTTCTGTCATGGTCGATCACGTGTAGCTTCACGCTTTGGTAGAGCGGAGGCCTCGCCTCGAGTTCCGGGCGAGAGAGAGAGAGAGAGAGAGAGAGAGAGAGAGAGAGAGAGAGAGAGAGAGAGAGATGCCAACTCGGAGAAATTTCGGGCCGTTTATCACGATTCGCCGGGCGCTTCCACCATTTTCGATATTTATACCGGTAGGCAGGCCGCTGCACGAATTCGAACTGCATTCGTGCGGCCCGCGAGAAGTGTTTTATCTTCCCCGAAGAGTGATACCGCGCCGTAAGAGAACGCGGAAGGTAACGATCGCGGGAGCTCCCCTGACTCTGTTTTTTCCCCTCCCCCCCTCTAAACGGAATTTTAATAGTTAATTGCGTAGCGCGTCCTAAGTACGTCTGGCACGATCTATTTCCCCGCGAGTGAGGTTAACCGTTAATTTTTGACCAACGAATAATGCCGGCTGACAGAAATTTTTACAGGTTTCGTAATTCTTTCCGGGCTTGTCTCATTCATATTTTAAATAAACGTATAATTCCAAGAAAATAACTCTATTGTATCAACCAGTTGCTGTTGCTTTGTTTCTTTCTTTTCGCTAAACGCATGTTTGATTTTATCTTGATCGTTCTTGTTGTAATTCGTATAGCCATCGCAAATATTGTCTCCCTGTAAAAACTGATAGCGTTGCGCGCGTCAGCGCACCGGCACGCCGCTGCATACTTGCCAACTTCTAATCGACTTTAACGACGTTAAATTTGAAATCGGAGAACTGCTAAAAGCGGCAACTACGGCGTCCGCCGCCCGTGCACCGCTCCGTGGAATAAAGTGTTTGCTCCGCCAGTTTCAGCCCCCTCAGTCAAGGGAGAGGAGCAACTCGAGGACGGGTCATTGTTCTGCATTCGATAATCGTCTTCAAAGTGCTGTCGAAGCTCCCGTGTTTACCCATGCCTCGGAAGCCTCGCAGCGATCTTTTCTTCAAACCGAAGCGGAGTCCGTTAGAGCGGCATTAATCTGGCGGCGATATATAGAGAAGCGAAGTTTCCGATTGCTCATTCAACTTGAGCACTCGCAGGCTGGCTCGCCTCACTCGTCAAAAATTCCGAGCGTTGGTTTTATCAGCTTCGGTTATTTCCAATCTGTCAATAATAACAATGCCGTCTGTGCGAAATTACGAACTGGATATCTACTGGTGTACAAGGAAAACCTAGAATTATCGCCAGTCGTCTTTATTCCACTTCGAAAAATTCTATACGTCAAGTGTCTCGCATCAGTTTTGCTCAAAATGTTAATGTAATATTTTATGTTTTTAGTATTACGCTTATTAGGTACATAAATATTTGACAGAAACACACGTGAACTCGCGCTACGCGGCTATGATCTTCCGCTTGTCATCGTGACATAACGATTTTATATAATGTCAAAGAACAAATCTCTCTCTTTCGCCTTGCGGCGACTCCTAAAGTCCCCCCCCCCCCCATTCTTACGAGAGATTCTGAACGCGTCGATGGGACAGCAGCGAGTAAACGGGACGCAAACAGTCTTTACCGTTCCATAAGAAATTCGCGGTATTATCATGAGCAAATTTGACTTTCCGCTCTTCCACTTCCGTGAATCCGCAAAGTCGCGCGCGCGCACATGCTCTCTCTCTCTCTCTCTCTCTCTCTCTCTCTCTCTTTCTCTTTCTCTCTCGTTTGCTAATAGTATATGTAGTTATGACTGCGTCCTTCAGGAGCAAATATAACTTTCCATAAACTCCTCAATCACTTCGATGTTCGCGAGTCCTCGCGTTCATTTGTTTGGCCACTAATTCGTTCGCCCTCCGGGGGTTTCACGGATTCAAAGACGAAGGCACGCGCGCGGTGCGGGGTAGCCAGGGAGCGCGGATGGAGGAGGGGCGCAGCTGGAACCAAACAGTTCTTCGGCCCGTGATTTCCAGCAGGTTCATTAGCGCTCCTGTCCTTTGATTAATGGCCGCCGGAGGATATCATTCGCCACCGGTTTTCTTACAGATCATTTCACCGTCACCTATCTAGATGGTCGTTAAGATGATCCTCCTACGACCCTCCCCCCTCCCCCCACCGAGACCGAGACAACTCGCGTATGAAATCGCGCCCGTCACGACGTTTCCCATTACGTGTTTACGCCAAGTTATCATCTGGCGCGAGTCGCCGTCAACGCTATCGTCGCGTGTCATCGCATTACTCTAACCCCGATTTCAATATCGGCCCGAGCGTTCGCGTCTTGAGCATCGTTATTAATTTCGTAAAAAGTGTCGCAC